CCAGCTGAAAAAAAAAAGTGAGCAGCTACAAAAACTGTAGCTGCTGACTTTTAAAATTCAGGCACTTACCTGTTCCCCGGTACAGCGGTGTCCCCAGCACGGCTGGTTTCACCGGCCGTCTTTTCCCCCTGGCACCAGCATCTTCAGTGTGGGCATCAGGCTGTGACAGCTTGCGACTTCACAGCCGGGTGCCCACTGCGCATGCGCGAGAAGCACTGTGCTTTGTTAATGACCCCATAGTCTTCTGGGATCTGTCACATATCCCAGAAGACTACAGGGAGGGGAGGAGGACAACCTCCGCTTCCAATCCCAGCGGAAGTGGGAGTGGACACCTGTCAAATTCGGGTACCCGCTCCCCAAAGGTGCCAATCCTTAATGAGGAGCGGGGGACAAAGACATAAAGCACAACTTCCCCTTTTGGTTGGAGCGCCGCTTTAAAGTTAAGCTGGCCATAAACTTAGTTTGTTTTTTTTTTTAGCCTGTGCCTATCCATACTTCTTCCAGGCTATCATCTTATTGGATAATAAAACCGGGGCGATAATAAAATCTGCAGTTGTAAATTTAAGCACAAAACCACTGACTTTCCACTAATGATTACTCAGCAATCTGTTGCAAAAATGTAAAGAAGAAAATGTTTCATTCTGCCCTTGCCACACTATGATTTACTTTTCCATATGACAGATTCGCTTTGAGCTCGGGTTCACACCAATGCAGTGCAGGAATCCTGTGCGTTTCCAACACTGCATTGCAATCACATCGCATTCATGCGATCTGGTTCAGGTGTCAATGATAAATTAATGACACCTTGAAACAAATCGTAAAACATGATGCGATTGCCAGAAATTGCGTTACATGGGTGAGAATACCTATGCGACATGATTCAGGTGCGGATTAAAAAAAAAATCCTGCACCTTTTTTGTACGGATGCGATGCAAAATCGCACCACACCTACATTAGCACTGGAATCGCACCGTATTGCTGTGTGAATTACATGTGGTGTCCCGCACTGCATAGTTTGAACCCAGGCTTAGGGCTGGTTCACACTGATGTGGTGCAGGAAACCGCATGTGTTTCGGACAGGAATTCATTTTGTATGACTCAAATTGCACACTGCAGGAAAGGTATTTCCCCCCCGCACTGGAATCGGATCGCATGGGTGTTCACAACGGTGTGATCCGATTCAGCCAATAGCACTGCGTTTTGCGAACTGTTTTTGGGGTGTCGTTAACTTGACATTGACACCTGCAGCGGTTCGCATGATTAGAGTGTAATTGTGATACGGTGAGGGAAATGTACAGGGACCGCTGCGAAGCTTGCACTGCATCAGTGTGAACCAGCCCTAAGGGATCCTGCAGGGATGTCAAATATGAGTGCTGCCATTGCTGACTTGTAGGCACAGACTCTGGCTATCATTCTTATCCTCTCTTTACTTCTTGGGGGGGGGGGGGGGGGTCACTGGCCTGATGTAAGCATATGGCTCTCCGGTGTGCAACATCATATATGCTTAGGGGGTTGATTTACTAAAGGCAAATAGACTCAGTTGCTCCAGCGCTTAGTAATTAAAGGGAAGTGTCACTTTGCAAAGAATAACCAATTACATGCAAGGAAAATACAAAAAACAGCATTTTTGCTTGCACATGATCGGATGATAGAACGCAGCAGAGCTTCCCCTTATTTACTAAGCTCTGGAGTCACTGCACTTGCAAGTGCACAGCCTATTTGCCTTTAGTAAATCAACTCCGCAGTCTTGCTGCAGATCATTAACCCAAAAGTAATTGATGAAGATGGACAGCGCAAGGATGAAGATGACAACAGCAGCAACTCCCCGATTTTTATCCTGGCAGGTTCCTCAAAAAATATGATCTAAGGTCAAAGCACTTGAGCAGTTTGTCTTTTATTCTGTCCTATTGATAGAGATTGAAGCTTCATACTGAGCAAAGGTGATGAAGACATCGTATTTATTTCATACTTGAGGAATCTTCTTCATCCCTGCAATGTTTTCTGTTGAAGATTCCTCTGCTCTCACTGACAGCCTCAATCTTTTTTTTTTTTTTTTTTTTTTTTTTTAAGAAGCTACATTAAGTTGATTTTTTTTCTCTTGCCATGCTTATGGCATGGTTCTTTTATTTTAATTAATAATTAATACCGGCTTTCGTGTGACAGCAGGGTTCAGGTTACTGCTAACCGGCTCCAGCTAGTGTTCTTGCTATACTCCTAGTCTGTGCCTTTTGTTTGAACGATGTGCACATTACCCAGAGGCAAAGGGCTGTGTTGTGTTTCACTTTTATCGTGGCATGAAAAGCAAAAAAAAAGAAAAAGCAAAAAAAAAAACCACGCAACAAGCGACTTTTGTCATGCCGTTTGTTTTGATGGCGTGAAACGGATGCAGTTAAGAAGTCATAGATTCTGCCTGGGAGACATACCTCCCAGAGCGCTCGGATGATTCAGAAAAGGTTGGGGCACATCAGCGAATTTTGGAGGAAAAAAAAAAAAAGTCCTGATTTTCAGGAGTTGATAATGTTTGATGACAGTTTGTGGCATTTATACGTTGTGTCTTGGCAACTGTTACCTAGTGACAGTCCTAACCGGCATTAGCCATTGGCTGAGCTGTTGACTGGGACAGAAAGACAGTCACCTTTTCAGCGTTTTCCTCTCCTGCATCAGCCTTTTGCTGGGAAGGGGGGGGGGGGGGGGGTGGAGAGGGGAAAGGGAGGGATAGTAGAGGAGGAGGAAGGGAATGTGGAGGAGGAGCAGGGGGCTCAGGTGCTAGCACTAATAATACCAAGAGTGAGAGCGATCAAGAGAGAACGACAATGTGAGAAATAGCGACAGCCTCCGCGCAAAACAGCATCTCAATAGTAGGACTGAAGTATCGAGCTGACAGCTCAGCTGCTAGCAGGGAGCCTAGGTGAGAAGCATTGTCTTTAATAACTGTAATAAAGCAGGAAAGAGGCAGCGGAGTCGGCGGTGGCGGCAGGGGGAGAGTGCTCTTTAATTTGTATTGTGGGGATGGAAGGAGGGCTGGGGAGAAGAGGGGGGGGGGGGGGTTTGAACGGAGCAGCTGGTCCTTTTTTTGGCTAATTTGTAAGATGGAGAGAGGGGAAAGGAGACAACTGAACTCCTCCAGGTAGATCAACTTGAAGAATGATGAGCGAGGGTATGATTTCTTCCAAACTGCCGAGGCTGTGTCAGTGTAGAAAGCATTCCTTTAGATGGTATCAGAGCTGCGGCTGCCACCCACCTCCCTGGCACATCTCACACACTGACAGTTTGAATCTATTTACAAAAGCATGGACAAAAGAGGTAGGCTGAGCAAACATCACACCAACTTTCACTCGCAAAGTGGGGAGGACAAAATGACCTTGGGCATCCTTCTTCTTTTTTTTTTTTTTTTTTTTTATTATCGTTTCTTGAGTGACAGTGCCAGGTTATTTAGTATGTCCAGGTCTATCCAATCTGTATCTTATGTCAAACATATCTTACTGCACATACATAGGATTTTATTTAATAATCTGTCATACAGGCAAGGGCAGTAACTCGCACCTTCCAGATTAAATTTGTCAGCAGTTTGGAGCATTCCAAATTTAGAAACAGGATTTCACGGGCTGCTATTAGATTCTGATTGTTCAAAAAATGTCCTTTTTTATTTATTTTTTATTATTATTATTATTAGACTGTTTTTAAGAATTTTTAGAAATAGCAAATGTGTGCCCAGTTATTAGCAGGTTAATTTTAGGCTGAATTATCCTATGGGAGTAACTTTAACTCCTTTGTGCAAATTCTCCATACCGTATAGTCTTCATCAGTCCTAGATTTAGGGCACAGGTTGACAACGATCTCTTGAAAAAAAAGTAACAGGTGTAATAATGGACTTTGAAAAGTCAAGAAAACACATTTAGTGTATGCTCCGGTGCATTTGCAGTTTATTTGCAAGTGCAGGTTTATCGTCATAGGTGGGTGAGCAAGGTGGTATTTCAAGGTGAGCAGCATTCTATTAGCTGTCACTGCGCAGCCTATAGGGAAAAACTGCTGTCTTGAGATCCTGATCCTTAGATGCTTGGAGCTAGGCTTTGCTGAAAAATTGAGCGCATTGGGAAAGGGTTGTTATAAACATACTTTTTTTTTATAATACAGGTAATGCTAGCGATCCCTCCAAGCTGGAAATTAGGTCATGCTGCTAATGCCAAGTACAAATGACTTGTCGCCTCCAGCTAGAAGGTTTTTAAATCATTAACAGGTTAAAGTGCATACAGGGAGCACACAGCCCCAGATACAGGGCACATGTCCAGAGACAGCTGGATGTTATGCTGTGCTGCTATTATTGAGCATCAGTTTAGAAGTATATGTTAAATAGTCTGTGATTGCCGCTAACCCGGCCCGAGATGCTGAGATATTTTAAGATGGCTCTTGACTTCCCCTCCCTCTTATTCAAATTTTCAAGTCTAAAGATAAACTATCTCAGGAGAATAGCCAGCCACCCTTTACCTCCTCCCCTGTTCCTTAAGCATTAAAAAGATCATGAGTCAGAGAAATGTTTTTCATTAGGCATTTCTTTCTCTTTCTCTTCCCATTCTGTTTTTTTTTTTTCATTTATTTTATTTTTATTTTTAGTTTCCACCCATGTTACAGGATACAGATTCTGTCTTTAGCAGCCGTGCTTTGTGCTTGCTAAGAATGGATTACCAGAGCCTGATCGTGAGACAGCCAGCAAGCTTCCCTTTGTTAAGCTCCCCCAAATTGCTCCTGGGTGCCGTGTTAATTTCTTCTGTGCCTCCTTTCCTGGAAAAGCAAAGGTGAATAGAAGCCAGAAACGGGGACTGGTTTTATGGATCGGGCATGAAGGACCGCATAGACCATCTCACTGATGGAAGAGATTTCCGAAACTATTCTTGAGGCTCGAATGTGGAGGGTCTCCTTCCCGGTTTCAAGACTGTTTTTTGCCACCTGGTGTTTACCGCTGTCCTTCAGGATTCCATCCAAGGTGAACTATATTCCAAACCATGAACCAGTCACAAACAATTGATTGGGGGACAGTTAATGCCAGCGGATTTATATTGAACACAACTGAGCATCACCCTTGCCCATTGGGTTTCGGCCACTACAATTCAGTGGACATATGTATCCTGGAAACCACAATAATTGTGCTGCTAACCTTTTTGATCATCACTGGTAACTTGACTGTCATCTTCGTTTTTCATTGTGCCCCACTGCTGCATCATTATACCACTAGTTATTTCATTCAGACCATGGCATATGCAGACTTGCTGGTTGGAGTTAGTTGTTTGGTGCCCACCTTATCTTTGCTACATTACTCTACAGGAGTCCATGAATCTCTGACTTGTCAAGTATTTGGATACATCATTTCAGTCCTGAAAAGTGTCTCCATGGCTTGTTTGGCCTTTATCAGTGTGGACCGGTACCTGGCCATTACTAAACCTCTGTCCTACAACCAGTTGGTAACCCCATGCAGACTACGTCTCTGCATTGTACTGATTTGGATTTATTCCTGTCTGATCTTCCTGCCATCATTCTTCGGCTGGGGTAAACCTGGCTACCACGGGGACATCTTCGAGTGGTGTGCCATTGCTTGGCACACTAGTGCCTACTTCACCGGTTTCATCGTGTGCCTGCTCTATGCTCCAGCAGCACTGGTTATATGTTTTACATACTTTCACATCTTCCGTATCTGTCGCCAACACACCAAAGAAATTAGTGACCGCCGTGCTCGCTTTCCCAGCCATGAAGCTGAATCAACTGGGGAAGCTGGGCCTGGTCACAGCCCGGATCGACGGTACGCCATGGTTCTTTTCCGGATAACCAGCGTTTTCTACATGCTTTGGCTGCCGTACATAATTTATTTTTTGTTGGAAAGTTGGAGGGCACTGTCAAATCCAGCCCTGTCCTTTCTTACCACCTGGTTGGCCATAAGCAATAGTTTCTGTAACTGTGTAATTTACAGCTTATCCAACAGTGTTTTCCGCCTTGGTCTTAGGAGGCTGTCCGAAACAATCTGTTCACCATGTATGTGTTCTAAAGACAAAAAAGATCGGGACCCTAAGCCCCGAAAGCGTGCTAACTCGTGTTCTATTTAAAATGATTGTTGTGACAATCATGAGCTAGCAACGCATCTGCACAGGCCCGGGGATGCTGCTTTCTCAGAACCATCTACAAAAAAATATAAAAATGATTCCAGCACCTCATTTTGGCAGCATTGTTTGAGTTGTTGATTTGCAATGGAAATGGGAACCAGGAAACTCTTGATGAGAGCGGAGAGACAAAGAGCACACGATTCTATGCCCTGCTGTCAAAAAATGAGTCATCCTATCAGCTGGGGGGAGCAAAATATCAAAGAGAAGGTGTCAGATAGGTTAAGATTAGCTAATTAATGCAGATATTCTGCAGAAATATCAGATAACGCACTAAAGGTCACTTCCTCTCTCATTCCCTGGCAAAATAGAATGTCTTCATTGCCTTGCCGAGGATAATAAAAAGATCACTGCCCACCGCAAGGCTCAGGTTACTAAATACAGTACTGCTGTGTAGCCACAGTCGCTACAAACTATTCTTTAGCCTGAAGGTGACCAAATTGCTGTTTTTATTTATTTAGTTTTTTTTAAATGTAACTTTATTAATATGTGTTACCTGAGCGCAAAGTTAAGTGGCTGTCAAACCATATGGGAGTTTACAAAGCGCGTGTGCAATATAAAGAGGTGTTCTGTAATAATATATGTGCCTCTTAATACTTTGCCCCCAATATTAGCCTCTTAACCCCCTTAACATTTTTTGACACCACTTACCAACAAAAGCTGCTACTTTTTTTTGTTTTGGTGATGTGTATTTTCTTTTTTGTCCAAGTATGCCCAACATCAATTGCTCAGCCATGATGTTGGCAAGCACTGTCTCCTTTAACATGCTGCGGTAATTAAGTGTTTAACACATGTCCTATGTACATCTGTAGTCATGTATGCTTTGTGTATATATTGATTACATTGATAAGAGATGTGGCTCTGGTTTCCAAGTAGAGGCTTTGCATTCCTGGCCACCTAGACATGTTATCGAGTCTTTTGTCAGACAAGGCAGCTGGCAGTGGCTCCTTCCAGAATTAGCAGCAGTGACCTTTTTTTTTCCTTTCCAGAACAATTGGTGATCACACCACCCATGGAAAAAATAGAATCTGCTAAGTGGACCATATTTCTGCTATACGTTTTATTCTGTCATCATCCTATAGCACATCTAGCTTGCTGCTGTGGTTTTTTTCCTGTTCCATGTGCAGTTTCACTGTGCACAGTATATATTTAATAATAAAAAGTAATCTATATATGTAATGGTGTGTGATCTTTGACTGTTCCCCTAACGGCATCTATTGAATCAAATACAATGTTTACCTTCACGCTCTGAATAGCAGACAAGACAGCATTTTTCATTAAAAAATGTACAAAGCAGATGAAGTCTCCAGTACTTATATTGGATAACTAGAAAAAAGAGCCTAATTCAATCTGAAATAAACATGCCCTGACATTTAAGTCAGTAAACTGCTTTTGGCACTCCTGGGGTGCTGGTGCTGTAAGCAAACAAAACTGCTGTTCAGATCTGTAAATGACATGGAGATCTGAACGCAGCATATGTGCATGAGCCCTACATACAGGTTCTTCTGGATACATTCTTTTCAAGCTTGCAGGCAGTTTAGCTAGTTTAAACAATGTACACATTCACGTTAAAGTTAACCTGTGGCCAGGTTCTTAACAATCAGTAAATGAGTTTTAAAAACCAGCGTTTGCTGTACTCTGTAGCTGTAGGCGCTGTGGAGTACATTATCCTCAAAGTTGACAGTAGAAGCTTTGAAGTTGTTTGCCCCTCTCACAAAGGGCCTGATCTGTGTTTACCTAAATAATATGTTACCCAAACATTTCATATTCCTGATATGTGTATGTTGTACCATGTACTTGCGTTACAAAGTATCCTATTTTCTTTGTATTGCTTCCTTTGGGTGAAATACCTGGTGATCTTACCAGTCCCTGTGCTGTCCTATTTCAAACTGACCATGCTGGGTATGAGAGCACATCCAACCCAGCATGGTCTGTTTTCTAGCTGTTCAGGGAGAACAGCCTGCCTGTCCTCCAATGGTCAAACTTGTTTTTCTGTTTCTCCAGTTCTAAAGGCCCTAATAGATTCGAGAACAGAGATTATATGATCACAAAAAAAGGAATTTATAATGTTTTTTTTCCTTATATACATATAAACTGTTTGCCTTTTATTTCTATATTAAACAAAGCGGGGTTGTTTTACAAGGTGAGGCTTCACTTATACTTTAAAGTGAACCAGAACTCAAAACGTGAAGATTTCCTATGGTATAGGGAACCTGTAGAAATGTTAATTGCACCTAAACCATATCCTGGAAATTTTACCTTTTTTCAGCAAATTAAAACCCCTTCCACACAAGTGGTATGGTTGAGCCTGCCTGTCTGTTTTTTAGGTGGACCCAACTGAACCATCGGGTGGCTGGATGTACATGGACTTGGTGTCTGTTTACAGAATACAACAAGGTAGCCAAAGTGCAAGAATTTGTAAAAACAATGTGTCATTTATTAAACAAACAAATATCCAAAACTTATGTTCAAGTAAGAGAAGTGCTGTTTGGATGTACAGGGAAATGACCGTATGTGTCTGAGAATGACGAGCCCGGTCTATAGACCGACTACAGCTGTCATCCACAGGAAACCGGACCCGCCATGTAGGATGGAAAACTGCAGCATCAACGGACCTCCTCAATGAACATGACATCCACTGGAAAGAAGCAAAGGGCGGTGTTTCAACACGTTTCAGAGGCTTTGCCTCCTTTATCAAGTAGAATGTATTTTATACGGATGGCTGAAAGCCAGTAAACAGGCTTGGATATTAAGTGGGAGATGAAAGTGAGGCAACAACTTTGCAATGACCAATCCGAAGGCTGATATATATACACACACACACATATATATATATATATATATATATATATATATATATATATAATCCATGACCTGAGGCTCAAAGCAGAAAGAACAGCTTCGTGCTTACTGTTTTCTAGAGGAAATAGAAGTGGATGTGGGGATAGTAACATGTGTACAATGTTGTAAAATGTTTAAATAACTACAGAATGTATTCTCACACAGTAAGATACCAAAACAAAAAGGAAGATCATGGCAGTGCACTCAGGTGGGGCGAAATTAACAGGTCTGTGTGAATACACACAAAGTGGGGATGGATGATAGCTAAGCAGCTGGGACAAAACACAAGCACAGGTATGGGAGACAGGTAAAAGAAATGTCTGCAGAATGAGGCTTTTTGAAATACAATCCGGAGCAGCATTAAGACAATTATCCATATAAAAACATATAAAGGCACAACGATAAGAAGTGTACCATACAAACCTATATATAATGGTATTACCCTCAATACCCTATCTTCGAAGGGGCTTAATGAAGAGTGGGAGGTTCACACCATTATTTAACTCCTGAACCCAAAAGAAAAGAATTTGTGTATATGTGGAAAAGAATTATCCATCTGCTTAGCTGTTTTCCATCCCCACTTTGCTTCTGTGTGTATTCACACAGACCTGTTAATTTCACCCCACCTGAGCACACTGCCATGATCTTCCTTTTCAGTCTCTCATGGTTTCTGTCACTATTTAAACATTTTAAAACATTGTACAGGTATTACTTTCCCCACATCCACTTCTATTCCCTCATTCCCTCTAGAAAATATTTTGCATAAAGCTGTTCTTTCTGATTTGAGCCTCAGGTGATCATATATATATATATATATATATATATATATATATATATATATATATATATATATATATTTTAGTGTGCAGATTGGTCATCTCAAAGCTGTTGCCTCACTTTCATCTCCCACTTAATATCCCAGCCTGTTTACTGGCTTTCAGCCACCAGTATAATAACCATTCCTGTCCTGTGATTGTACTTGATAAAGAAGGCAGGGTCTCTGAGACACGTTTTACAAGCCCCCCTTCTCTTCTGTCCAGTGGATGCCATGTTCGTTGAGGATGGCCTTTGATGCTGCTGCTTTCCATCCTTACATGACAGGTGTGGTTTCCTGTGGTTGACAGCAGTAGTCGGTCTGTAGACCGGGCTCATCATTCTCGGATTGTTTTTACTACTGTTTGGCTACCTTGTTGTGTTCTATATGCCATTAAGGATTCCTCCCAGATCAGATGTGCCAAGCAGCGCAATTTCATTAGAGCTCTCCATCCATCCATCATCCTCTCATTCATACATACCTGATCTACATTCCACAAGAACTATCATTAAGGCTGCTGAATACTTGTACCAACTAACCTGAGACAGGACTTCATTATATTATCAGCTCTGGAGATTCCACCAAAATGAATTTGGAATAAGTACTTTTTGTATTCTTTTGACTCTTGTTCATGTACTAAGCTGTGAGCGCTGAGAGACTTTTTTTGTTCTCATTGTGTCTGTTTACACCTGGCTACCTCAGATCTGATCTGGCAACAATGGAAAGGAGATCTGTTACCCTCTCTTAGGCCAGATCGGATCAGAGGGGCAGCCGGGTGTAAATGGACACATAGTCTGTGTCCGCCTTGCATAAGTGGAGCGGATACGGACCTGTCATCCGGCCCCTCTGCTCAGCTTAGCAGGAGATTAGTGGACGGATCCCCCTGCTGAGCAGAATGGATCTGGCCCATGGAAAGGGGCCTAAATAGCAGTGCAGTTCCTAGGTACTCCTGTGTCTGTGCAGTGTGATATATAAGACACTACTTCCTCTGATTGCTGATTCTATGAAATTTAGAGTGAGATTTGGTGATGTCACTGTTCTCGTTGCTGTGGAGGCGCTAACACGAGGAATTGAGACTTGCCTCTACCAAGATGGCTGCACAGAGACACTGCAGAACAAGGAATGATAAGTCGGTAGTGGGGAAAGATCAGTTGCAGGGAGACCACTGGCAACAATGGTGTCCTTTGTGTTCAGTTCCTGACTAAGAGAATGGAAGGCTAGCTAGTCACTTTTTGTTTGGGGGGGGAGGGGAGAGGAAGTGGCGTTTTGGAAACAAAGTGATTCTGTTAAT